TTCGACACTCTTACTTATCGAAAGAGGTTACAACTATCCCGTATACTTGCAGGTCATCAATATGCGGGAACAATCTTGTGACACAAGTGATGCTATGATGATACCAAGATGATACCAATGTGATATGGTATGTATGCAATGGAAGGTACGGATCACTAATGTGCACAAGTAACATTGCTGACAATACTCAAATGGCTAGTCTCGAAAGGGAAGTGACGCAAAATGGGCTAAGGGGTTAACAATGTAATGGCAAGAATGTACAAAGATGGGATACCATGATACCAATGTGATATGGAGGTTACCGTTCTTGCTTACGGTTAGGTTGTCAAAATGGTGAAGTGGTTGATGTCGAATCCTTGTCGAATGTGAGCAGCGGTGTTGTCAATGTTGAACCGTTCCTAGTTAGCCGAAACACCCTAGGGAACGGAAAAAACGCAAACTCAAAATCTCAAAGGAAAATATCAAATGGTGGTAGCAGAATGCGTTGTGGTCCGGAGTTAGCAATGCAGAAGTGGTGGTGGTGGGTGATGGATAAGAAACCGTCCCTAAGTAACCGAAACACCTTAGGAGACTCAAGTCACCTCTCAAGTAACCAGAAATGCTATAAGAGTCAAAAATGTGTTCGGTGGCGGAAAGTGATGGTGGTTTTGCTATTGATATAGTGGATGGCATATGCAAAGATGCCAAAATGCCAAATTTTGATGGGGTAAAATGGTGTTGGAACCTACCTAGATGGATGGGGGATGTCGATAGCTACTCAACAAGCTAAAGAACATCAAAATCGGACTCTGGGAGTGAAAGTTATAGCCAAAATGGTGAATGTTGGTGGGCTGATTCGAGGGGGTGCGGGCACCCGGGGGTGAGAGGTGCGGGTGCCCGGGGTGGTCAGGGGAGTTGGGCGGAGAAGATGGCCCGGGGGTCTAGGTGCCCGGGGGTAAGGGGTGCGGGCACCCGGGGTGGTCAGCTCGGTTGCACGGGGGGTCCGGGTGCCCGGGGTTTGAGGTCCGGGTGCCCGGGGGTCGCGGATTTGGGCGGAAAATCATGGGAAAATGGGAGAAATTGGTGAATTTCATGGAGGGAAAGGTGGAGATGGATGGGAGGAATGCTAGATCCACTTGAAACCAAGCAAATCCATGGATCAAATCCAACAAAATCTCATCAAACCAACAAATCACAAAAAAAATTAGGGCTATTTTTGGTGTGGAATTTTTGAAATTGGGGAGGAACACAACAAAATTAAGCTAGAGAACAAGATGGGGGGCTCCAATTTTGTGAAAAACCATGGCTCATGATACCAAGATGTTGTAGGGTGAAACCCTAGATGGGGATCTTTCATGAATTGGAGGGGAAATCCCCAAGAACACGAAGAACACAAGAGAGGGGAAACACTCAAATTGACTAAATCCAATCACACATATGCTAGATCCAAGAACACACAAGAGGTCACAATGAACCCAAGGAAAACAAAGGGAAGATACAAGGTACTAGTTCATCCCAATCCTATGAGAAGAGAGGTCTTGATGATCCTATGATGAGGATCCTTCCCAAGATGGGGGCTTGATATCCACTAGGGATCTTCTCCTAGGAGGCCTTGATCTCCTAGAGGAGTGGGTACAAGGAGCAAAGCTCTCTAAATCATCTCATATACTTTGCTATCCCCTCTAATGAGCTAGGTAGGGGTGTTACTTATCGTCTAGGGACGAAATAAGAGGGGGAGAGTGATACAAGGGCAAAAGCCTAAAAAGGCACGTAGGCCCTCATGGTGGTATGGGCACCCGGGGTCAAACCGGCCGGGCACCCGGACCGGTCAGGGGCGCCGGTTGGAGGAGAACCGGGCACCTTGGGTCCAAGGCCCGGGCACCCAGGGCGGGGCTGGTGGCTGGCGCGAGATAGGCCGAGCACCCGGGGCGAGCTGGGCCGGCTCAGGCAGGAGGCCGGGCACCTGGGGTGCGGCCCTGGCGCTGGCTGGGCGAAAGGCCGGGCACCCGGGTGTGACGTGACCGGGCACCCTGGGTGTCTAGGGGACTTGGTCCCTCCCGTGGCTTCGTGTCCGAGAACTCCATCTCCTCGCACATCTTGATGCTTCCCCTTCTTCTTGGGTCTCTGGTGAACTTCGTGATTCCTTCTCCGTGCTTCCTTGTGACGATCTCCAAAGTACCTAAGAATTCATAACGTTTCCATTTGAGGTAGAACCCGACTCTCATATGAATCCGAAAGAAACTCGAAGAGGAAAGAGTTAACCTCGGTTTTGATTGTGCGTGTACGTGCTCTTGTCATTGGTCCACAAGGTGCTTGACGAGTTGTAGTAGAGTCCATGGGGATGAGCGAGGGATGCTCCGCATCACTTGTTGTGTCATCTTGCATAACATGATCATTGAGAGCGAGTAGGAAGAGCCAGTGTTTGACACAAAACCATATTATAGGCAGGGTCCTCTTGCCTAAGTTGATCACCAGCTACCAGCAACCTGGACTGTCTACCTCAATATGCGTCAGGAGATCCGAGACCGACAGGTGCATCAACAACTGCAACACGATCTGGTGGAGCACCTATGGAGGCTCAAGGGCGACACCGGGAACGACGTGTGATGAAATATGAGTTTTTATTTGTTGAACTATATAATTTGTATTGAACTATTCGTTTAACTATTTGATTTCTATTGATTTTATATGATGAACTATGGAGGCAAAAACACGCCGAAACACGCGAACCACGCCGAACTATGCGATGAACTATTTGACTTCTATTTGTTAAATTATTTATTGAGAATTCACGCTGAAACACGCCGAACCGCACTGAATATGGATCGATTAACGCAGATATCAGGCCGTTTTTCAACGAAAGTGGGCCGAATAATGGGTCGAACGCTACTAGAAAAACGGCTATAGATAATATGGACACTAATGACGCACTATACATGTGGTGCGTCATTACTAAATAGTAATGGCGCACCATGTGTAGGTGCGCCATTAGTAACCAAAACAGTAATGGCGCACCAGGTGAAAAGTGCGTCATTACTAAGTTTGACCAAGGTTTGACCCAGTCATACACATATAGTAATGGCGCACTTTGTATAGGTGCGCCATTACTAAGTTGATATAGTAATGGCGCACATTTACAAAGTGTGCCATAACTATGTGTATGATTGGGTCAAACCTTGGTTAAACTTAGTAATGGCGCACTTTGCATAGGTGTGCCATTACTATGTCAAACTTAGTAATGGCGCACCTATACAAAGTGCGTCATTACTAACTTTGACCAAGGTTTGACCAAGTCATACACATAGTAATGGCGCACTTTGTGGAGGTGCGACATTACTAACTTTCTAGGTGGCCGAAAATTTCACCAAATGCACCCCCCCTTGGACCGCCTTTTCAGTTTAAAAAAATCTCTAATAATAAAGGGGCTATTGCTTCTGATGGAACGTCATTAAAATTGCCCCAAAGTTGAAAAATATTACCCACCAATGCCACCTATAAGTGACAAAAACCATTTTGCAGGCAATCCCCGCCTGGGCCGGCCCAAACATATAGACCTACTATACTACGCTCTGTGCGCTGGAAAAGACAAAGTGTGCCTGATTGGGCCGGCCCATGTACGGGCACCTGTTTTTCTAGTAAAAGAAAATGATGGAAATGTCAAAAAAATAAAAGAAAAAAAGTTTCCCATGTGATATGTGGTCTAATTGTTTGGAAAATTTACAAATACGAATTTTGACTTTATTTGCAAAATCTCTCTAGAATTTAGTAAAATGGGCATAACTTTTGCATACGAACTCGGATTAAAAAGTTTTTTATATGAAAAATCATTTATTCGAAGAGTTACATCTGAATTCAACTGGGGGTACCCCGTTGAAGATTTTTAGAATCCCCCAAATCCTAACAGAATAAAAGATACGGGGCTTTTAAGATCTAGAGGGGGAAATGGAAAAAATTCAAACTTAGTAATGGCGCACCATTTGCTAGGTGCGCCACTAGTAACAGAAAAAAATTGGTTTTGATTTTTTTTTTGGAAAAAAGGTTCAAAATATGATACGTAATATGAACGGGAAGTTTGAAATATTTTTTCAAAATTTCATCACACTCATGAACATGAACAAAGTCCTAGACATCAACAAGGTTTAAAAGGATTGATATGGTAGATATATCAACAAGTGCATGTTAAGTGAGCTGGTGCTGGGGTTGGATAGAACTGAAAAGTTAAGCGTGCTTGGGCTGGAGTAGTGTGAGGATGGATGACCTTCCGGGAAGTTTGACCATGGAGTGCGCTTTGACTTGAGATTAAGCATATTTACCCGAGATTAAGTCATAATGACCCGAGATTAAGAAAAAAAATTGAAAAAAAATTCTGAAAAAATTTTGTTAGTAATGGTGCTCTTCTATGTGGTGCGCCATTACTAAGTCAGATAGTAATGGCGCACTTCTAGGCATAGTAATGACACACTAAATGTGCGCCATTACTATTTGTTATTAGTGGCGCACCTATAGTGCACCATTAATAGCAAAAACTGATGCGCCATTAACAACCTTTTTTATAGTAGGGGAAATCGGCGCGTGGGGGCGGCGGCTGGGTGCCCAACCGCCCCAGAGCCGATTTTGCCGCCGGCTCGCCCCCATGCGGTGATTTTTATGCCTTCTGGGAGGCCAACGGATAGAGATGCTTTTAGAAGTTCTCATGTGTGAGGCATACACTCTTTTTATACTCTGTGCGTGTTGTAGCTTTACACATTATCGATGAAGCAACATCGAGGCGGGCATATCAAGAAACCTTGTTGCCAGCTTTGTCGTCATTCAACTAGGGCAAATCTCCAGTGGCCGGCCGCCAGATCGATGGCCAAACCATCTGCTGCCAAGGGTCTCAATGGTTCCGACCGCTGGTCCTTCGTGGAGCCAGAGGACGATGGAGAGGATAGGCTGAGAAGTCTGCTCGATGACGTGCTGCTCAACATGGTGGAGCGTCTTGACATCGCCGCCTCCACAAGAACCGGCCTCCTCTCGGACCGATGGATGCGGAGCGGATCCAGCTGATGCTCTCCAAGATGCATCTGGCGATCGACTCGTCTGACCCAGAGCGTGACAGGTCGAAGCTGAGCTGCGGCGATGACATGGTTCGGGCCAACGCCACCATAGCTGAAGCAATCAAGAGCATGTTGGAAAGTATGAGTACAAGTCTAGATACGGTCCGCCTCCTATGCCTGCAGTTTTTCTTGGGATATTGAGACATTGGCATTGGCGGGCCGTCGCCGACACCATATCAACGGAAAACATTGGGTTAGCTGAGCTGACTCTCTTGACGAAGGACGGCCGGCGATGCACCGAACAAGATTTGGTAGCCTACGGTGGGCAGATGAGGTCGTTCGTCGACGCGTGCCCAAACACATTATTCAGCGGTTTCGCACGACTCGAGCTAGAGAATTTGAGGCTACCCAAATCCGAATCCAATTTGCCGAAGATTCTAGGTATATACGAGTGGTTGGCATTCCTCCACTTTTAGTCTCTACTAGCAAGATGCCCGTGCATTGCACGGAACATCAAGATGCATTTTTTTACAAAACACCTGTTGTGATTTCAGGAGTAATCCCATTTGTAAAAACTAATGATATCTCGAGAAATAGGAGAGATAAGGGGAGGAGGATTGGGGCATGGTGATGATTGATGGTCGGACTGAGCGGAGGCATGGGGATGGACGACGCCGGCAGCGGCCACCACATGCCAGATTGTTCCAGAGGCTTCCTTTTTTAATTTCTCAACAATGAAGTTGTGAGAGATAAGGATGAACTGGGAAAGGCCTTATCTGCAAATGTGAAGAGGGGTGCGGGTATCTTTTTACAAAATTGCTATAATTTGCTTTCTATCCGTCAGATATAGATCGGACGGTCTATATTGCAAGATGGCAGGCGCACCATCATCATCAACTCGGTATTTTTATAAGAGTAGAGATTTGTCATTTTCTTTATCTTTTCCTGGGTCATGTCATTGCCAGGCTTAATCTTCAACCTGGATAATATATTTGTCATTGTCTTGGCCTTTTGCAAATTTGGGTTAAACCTAAAGGTCGAGTAGAATTATCACAAGTGTTTGACAAACTAAAGTTTGTGAATTTGGCCGACATTTCACAAGAATGTGATCTGACTTGGACATTGTTTGTCCTACGCGGTGCGCCTAACCTCGAGGAGCTTTGCATAAGCATGTGGAATATATGTGACTTGGTAAGGGGTGACAAGGATAGGAAGAAGCTTCAGCTTAGCGAGGAGAAGAAGGACGTGGGCAGAGAGTGGGAACCATCTGTATCATATTTCAAGCACCACAATCTGGCCGTGCTCGGGATCTTTGGGTTTCCGTTGCAAGACAAGCTTGTGAATTGTGTCAATGGAGTCATGGAATCGGCGGTTGATCTCAAGGGAGTGTACCTGTATAAGAGCATCTTCAATAGATGATGTAGATAAATAACTAACTTTTACATCTTCGAGGCTCAAAAACCCTTCTCCAACATATGATGTAGATGCAAAAAGGAATACATCTCGGCCTTATGGAGATGTAAACTACAACACCTCACGGTTTAAATTTGTAAAAACACAACTGTCTGCCAACTGCCCAATTGTCGTTCATTTCACTTCCGCGCGACCAGCCGCCAGCCGACCACCACCTGGGCCATGGCCGACTCCAACGACCCCGCCGCCTCCTCCCCCACAGTTGTTGTTGGTCTGACTCACCCCGTCGCACCGCCATAGTCGTCGAGGAGCTGCCGATTTGAGCCTGTCCCACCGCACTTCCGCTGCCGCGACACTCGCCCACCGCACCACGCCGACGCTGCCCCGCTGCCAAATCCGGCCACTCCACGCCCCCGCTGCCGGTTCTGTCGTTGCTCTGCTGCTGCCTACCTCCAAATTGGCCGAATTGGATGCTTCTCCGGTGCCGAATTGCTACCTCGCCGCCGCATGATTTGAGCTCGCCCGCCGCCGCCGGATTCGAGCCGCACACTTGCCTCCACGTCGCCCCGCTTTTCCACTGCCAGACTCGATCTTCTCGCGCCGCACGGCCGTGGCCCCTTCGCGACCAATCCGCCCCTCGATTCACAGCCACGTTGCCGGCCATTCAAGCTCCGCCCACCGCATTCGACCTCCCGACTCTTGCCGCTCGGCCGCCGGCACACCTGCTACCGCCGCTCAGTCCACCGGCGCTCATGTCGACTACTTGTACACAGTCGCGCTGCCAGCGGCTGGTTTTACATCTCTAGTTTGCATCATCTGTTGAAGTTGCTCTTTTACATCTTCATTTTGCATCATCTGTTGGAGTTGGCACTTTTCTGAAGATGCAAAAGGCACTTTTTGAAGATGTAAATTTTTACATCTTCAAATTTGCATCAGTTATTGGAGATGTTCTAAGAGGCCGGGGGTGTGGGGCTTGTATGTGCAGAATGCGGAAGGGTTTACTTGACGAGTTCAAGAACCTGAAGGATGTATTTCGTTGACCTCCAATGACGCTCGGTGTATCATGTTTTGAGATTCCCTGAGATGGTAACAAAATTCAACATAGTGAGCATCGTATAATAGCCGCGAGTGTTTTTAGCTAATGGTAAATGCTGATAATTCTGGTTATGGAAACAGCTTACCATGCCTTGCAAATTTTATGAGTAGTGAAATATTGCTAAGCATCTACAAATAAAACTGTGCTTGGAGTTTAGTCTTTTGAAAATTTCAGTGTGTTATTCATCTGATTCACCTGGAGAAAATGCCTCTGATCCACCAAGAAAATCATGTTGTCCTCCAAAAAGAACAAGGAAATTATGCATGCAGACAGTGGTAGCAGTACTGCTACTACCACTCTTGCTAATCACACTGATAATCCAGCGCCATTGGTAGTCGGCGTAGGGTGCAACAATACTAGAGTCAGTCATGGTAAGTCGATACTATATTCATGAGATTTTACATTGAGATATGTGCAAAAAGTTTCTTTTAGTTTTTATCTCTCTTGCATTTTATGTCACTTGACTAAGAATCGGTTAAATCTCAGTTGAGTGGTGGAATATTTTATGTCACTTGCAAAAAGTTTCTTTCCGGTTTATAGGGCTCAATTCAAAAATCTCACCAACTAAGGTAGATGGTGAGTGGTGGAATATTTTTTGTAATTTGCAAAAGCACCCAATTAATGCTCTTGTTTTCCTCAAAAAATTATGTCTACCAATATATTAGTTGCAATGCATACATGCATAAAGTACATGCATTGGTCAATTTTCTCTTAATACTTGCATGCAATGATTTAATGCACCTTGGAACCTGAACTTGCGATGGGGAACAACCAAATTGAGTCTTATAAAATGGAAAAACCAAGATTTTGAGATAAGCCCTATAAATCGGAAAGGAGGGAGTAAAAGTGATGTAATCAAGCTATAAGAATTTGAATATTATGTTTTTTGCTGAGTCGAAAGAGAAAGAAGATAAGCAGGTTGTACTTTAAGAGCAAGTATACAATATGATAAGGCCAATTCCAATGTGGCGGCCCATTTCATCTATGTTGGTCCGTTTGGGTCCGCGAGGTCGGAAATAACAGCATAACGTGTTGACCCAACCCCGAATAGTGTCCGCGCTCTATCCTTTTGGATGCATTTCTACGCTAAATTTGAGTGTGATTTGCATCCACACAGACACGAGACGCTTCGTTCACTCGGTCAACCATTTACCGGTCAATTGTTGACCATTTAATCTTGACTTGCAAAAAAATATATATCAAAAAAACAGTTTGCAAACTGTAAAAAATCATGAATTTTAAAATTACATAATTTTTTTTAAAAATGCGACTTTGAAAAAATTCTTAATTTTTTTAAATATTATGAGTTTAAAAAAGTGCACTGGTTTTAAAAAGATCATGAATTTGAAAAAGTTCGAAAACTGGCGAAGGTTTATGAATTTGAAAAACAATACCAGGTGATAATGACTCTATTAGTGAGAAGAGCCAGCTCTTTGTGTTTGGTTCTGTGGCCAACACTAGCTTGCTTCCGAGATCCTCATGAGTCGGCCCAGTACAATAGTTGCGTCACACTGCATACCATTCGCGAACTAAATGGCGCGTTAAGTGCCGAATAGGAACCGACAATAATCTTTACAGAGCTCATGGATGAATTGGATTTTTTTTCACAGAGCTTGAAAAGTAGGAGTGAACTTGATCTAAGTAGAGTATTTTGGTAAAGTGCTTGAGCTTATCATTTGTGCACATCTCGTAAAAAAATTGTAATTTTCACAAAATTTGCAAACCATATGGGGATTCTTACTATTTGTACTACATTAGTGTAAAATTATTTTTTAAGCAAAGCATGCGCTCTCGACTCTCAAGCAAGCTTGATGGTTTCTGGTACGGTGAGCTCCTTGAGGGAGTCTTGGATAAGGGGGTATCTGGACAGCCGAACTATGTACTTTGGCCGGACTGTTGGACTATGAAAATACAAGATTGAAGACTTTGCCCGTGTCCGGATGGGACTCTCCTTTGCGTGGAAGGCAAGCTCGGCGATTCGAATGTAGATCTCCTTCTCTGTAACCGACTCTGTGTAACCCTAGCCCCCTCCGGTGTCTATATAAACCGGAGGGTTTAGTCCGTAGGACAACAACAATCATACCATAGGCTAGCTTCTAGGGTTTAGCCTCTATGATCTCGTGGTAGATCAACTCTTGTAATACTCATATCATCAAGATCAATCAAGCAGGAAGTAGGGTATTACCTCCATCGAGAGGGCCCGAACCTGGGTAAAATATCGTGTCCCCAATCTCCTGTTACCATTAGCCTTAAACGCACAGTTCGGGACCCCCTATCCGAGATCCGCTGGTTTTGACACCGACATTGGTGCTTTCATTGAGGGTTCCTCTGTGTCGTCGCTATAAGGCTTGATGGCTCGTCTCGTTGTCAAGGACAATATCACCATTGGGGGAGCCCTGGCCCTAAGCCAAACTCTCCGGCTGGGCGGCTTCGTCATGACCGCCCGATCGGCTGTCGCGCCGACGATGACTTCTTAGGTCATCAAAAACAGCCTCCACGTCGATTCGGAATTCGCAGAACAGATGGACCCGATGGAGCTCTCCTCCCTTAATGAGCTCTCGGATCGCATCGCCGCCCTGGGCGTCACTGCGGACTACGACCGGATCGAGCTCAAACCCGACCAAAGGGAGATTTACTCTCCGCCGGTCACCCATGAGATAGCAGTAGTGGAAGAGCATCATACGAATTCTCCCTCTATTTTGAGGACGAACTATGTCCGGATTTCTGAGCTCTCTGAGCCAGACACCCGCTCGCGGGAGGACATGGCCCAAACCCCGAATTCAGAGTCGGGCGACGGGCCGAAGAAATTCGGCAACATCCTGGAGCCCGAGCTGTTAAACTCGAAAGCTTCTTGGCCCCTGGGTCTTGGATTGGGTCAGGATTCGAATTCAAAGCCACCCACCCACCCAGATTTATTCAATCTTTCGCATATCAGACAAGAGCCCCAAGAGACAGTACATCATTACT